AGTTTTTGTGGACTAATTGCAGCGGTTAGATGATACCAAAAATATTTTCATAAATAGGAGATCTTTCCCATTCCGGATCGAACAATCCACCAAAGATGCTTATAATCATCATACCTAGTAAATTTACATGAAAAATCCTCTGTATGTATGTATATAAGAGCTTTCTTATATTTTTTCATTAATTTGATGATACAACACATCTGCTAAAAATGATCATATTCAGGATAGTAAACTATGTCGAAGGTCCACTGTATGTAAGAATTTTCAGATTCTTCATTTGCAATTTGACAACAGACCATGACGGTGTTCACATTTTTCAAATATTCTTCAAGAAGTGTTATCAGTCTAGCTCCAACTATCATAAGCACTATGTTTGTATTCCTACTTTAAATTCAAAACCAGCAAATGTCGCACCCTTCATCACGGGACGTGATCGTCGTTAGAGTTGGCAACCCTGCCAGTGACAGATAGATAACCCCACCAGTGAAAAAGAATAAACATTAATAGTTATTATAATTTTTGGACTTAAAAGACATTATTTGTGAGACATTTTTCATAATGTTTTGTCTATGTCCATAGTAATTGCATTATGCATCACGGAGATGTAGGGATTGAGACGTCTTACACATATTATGTGTGTTTTAGGATGGAGAGGACAATGTTTTTATTGCTTTGAAGAAATTAGTTAACCCGTAAATTAATAAATGATTACTATTATGATGTAAAGGAAGATGAGGAATTGGATGGAATCTATTTTATATTCTTCCAAAGTACAGAAAAATCCACACTATTCAACACGTATGTAATGATAACAGTATATTGAAATTCGAGATTGCCATGCATTAAGAAACGTCCAAATCTGCTGCCGAATCTAACAGCTAGAAAATCGGCCTATTATTTGCGGCATTCCCATTTGCTTTTGGGGATAACTGGTTGGTGTTTGTCATTGAGCCTGGAGTCGGTCTGACAAGAGTTGCCCAATTCCAGAAACGGCTAAGTCCAGTTTAGAATCTTTTTCAGGAAACGCTAAAGTTTGCTACTGACCACAAGACAGTTCATGTACGCATATAATTGATATGTGATAACATAATGATTGAGGAAATCTCTCTATAGATTTATGGAAAACAAAACAAAAAAATAAGTTGGATTTGGGTGGTTCTAAAAATCATTTTGGACTTAGGGTCTTGCTTGCACTTACAAGAATTACAGACTGGCGACATTATCTTGACATAAAAAAGTGAAAGTGTAGTGCTCCTTTATTATTTATTATAACTTTCATTATACTATTAACGATACCTATCAGTGTCATTTATACCGCATAGCTGTTTTACCTAATTTTTTCCACTATCGCTATCAGCTTCCGTGTATACGGACAATATCTTGGTAATAGATAAGATTTTCATTTTCGGACATCGGTTCATTCACATTGTTTACCTGTTTCGCATTTGACTCTACTTTGGTTAGTTCTTTATGATGTTCAGGTACCTTTGGTAGGTTCGCATCAAATTGCATCTCAATAAGGACTCAAAAACTGGTTGAGCTGGCCGTCAAATGTTAATGTTTGTGAAATGCACTCTAACATGCATGTAAATGTATTCTCCGTTCTTGGCGGTTACGTCATCAGCGCCATATGAAATAAGTCAGCAGATCGTATCTTCGTATCATGGGCGGAACTAATCTTCCGCGCTTCTGCTACTCTCTCCAGTACGCATGATGTGGGTAACAGGAGACCGCTTTTTCATTCTCTTCCTGGAAATACTCTAATAAATTTAGCACGAGCTGTCGACCTTCTCCACTGATCGTATTTCCGGGCATTGTACAATTTTATATTGAAGATTGATAACAGGACAACCCAAGTTGCACGGCGATGTCAAGTTAGTTGTCACTATAGCCCACGGTACCCAATGGGTGTTTAGGCCTTAGGCCTTCGTGGTAGTTGGAGTATAATAAATAAAACTATGAGAAATATGATTAAATGGCACACATACGTAGCGGCACATTGAACGAAATCTCAAACGTAGCTGCTCCTTCACCCATGAGCTGGAAAATAAACCACTTCCTCGCAATACTCCAATAATTTGTAAAAAAACTGTCAGCATTGTCAGTTAGTTGTATTTTCAGGTACTGCTAGGTCAAGTGGGGCTGTCACACTGACAGTAACAAGCATATTTTAGGAATACTCATACATTGATAAAAATATTTTCGAGGTGGCAAGAAGAAACTAAGGAACCTATGTTGAGTGTACACAAATAAAAGTCCGCGTACAGAAGCATATTGCATAATGTATGTGTGAGAAAGATGGGTTTCCTCGTGTACCGGTAGTCTTAGTGTGATCTGCAAAAAACCGTCAAATGTAGCGGGTTTTGTTTCTAAATGGATTTAGGGATTTTTGGACTTCACTCACTTAGTAATTTTGTTGTAAAATAGATTCAAAGGGGTTTAAAACTAGGCAATACTTCGCGCTGTTTAATCAACGATCTATCAAATTTGATGCCACAGTGAAAATGCTGTCAAACTGACATGCGTAAAGGCGCTGCGCTGCTGGACTACTCTACGTTGGCTGAATGCGCTCAATAACTACGTCTGTATCGAAGATTTAGGCAGTATAACCTTAGAATTCGGATTTAAAATTCCCGACATGTACATGCATCATAATTGAAATTGGATTAAGGTTTGGATATCTCTTGGCCGATATAAATGCTTCAACACAATTTCAGAAATGCTGTGGACATTTTATCAAGGATCGAAATTAGATGATCCTAGACGCATTCCTCCAAAGTTTGTTTCTCCCAAAGTATCTGAAACGTATTCAAACCACTATTATATGGGTTCCAACTCTAAGGACCGTATTGTCAGTCGTTCCTACAATTGTAGGACGCTTTTATGGCCTCCTTGATTTGCATAGTCTTTTTTCTCTTTCAGAAAGGCTGGGCTATTTCTAGATTTCTACTACTCTGTGTCATCGTCAGCGTTCTCCTATTGTGAAAATACGTTTTTTTTTTTAATTGTAGGAAATTTCAGGCTGATAAGGCATCACATAAATCAAAAGCATGAACAGTTTGATGCAAATAGATATTTGTGACATGACCTCAAAATAGAGCGCTGACAAGGAAAAGTAGAAAACTATGAAAATCATAAAGGTGTCCTACTATTGTAGAAAGGACTGACGATACGGCCGTAAGGCTGCTAAGATAAGAATAAGGGATAGGTAACATTATCAACGCGTGTATCCAACTTCTCTTAATTTTTCTTAAATGCTGATTAATGTGTAGCTGCTGCTGGGCGTGACACCGGTCCTGATTTTCCCCTAGGCTGTCGTCGTCCTTTTTTCTTTCTGTTCCTTTTTCTGCAGCGTCGCGCACCACCAGCGCAGCGGTACAAATTCCTTACGCGATTACGCCTGGGCGTTGTCAGCCTCGGGGTGATTAATATTAAGATTTTAATTAATTTTATTACCCCTGGCCAGTATTACGGGATTTTTCATCAGAGGAGCTGTTTGACACATCAGAGTCATGTGTATACGTTAAGGCTTGCTAAGTCCCTAAGCAAAATCGATTAGATCGGTAGTGCAAAGTATATGGGCGTATATTAAATACCCGGTTAGTCCGAAACCACTTTTTCGAAAAAAGGTTTCCAGATAAGTTTCAGGAGATTTTCACAGCATCTTACTGGTGACAATGCCATATCATCAAAGGTCATTTGGAGGTCTACTTCGTAAATTCAAGTAGCAATTATCAGATTCGTAATCAGCACGGCATTCTGAAGTCAGCGATCAGAAGTAGTCAAACAGATATGTCAAGCTGTAGTGACTGGAAAGAGAACGAGAAACATCTGTTTTGAAATAAACTTCAAATACAAGAATCAAAAAGGGATTGATCGATAGCCTCAAGTACGACCTAGATCTAAGACGTCATTTGGAACTCAAGAGTCTGAATTCAAATAGCAAGTACTACCTTTGATAGCACATGCACTCACTAAGTTGTTCACTTGTGGTCACGTGACCTCATGCAAGGAAATTGAATCCACTGTAAAATCGCGCGCCGATTCCGAATCTGGTATCACCAGGATTCACCAATGAGTTCCTTTATTTTACAAGCTTTTATTTAACTTGACCTGCTTGTATGTGTGTACAAAATGAATTGATTCCCGCCATTTTCAATTCCATACGGCAATTCATTCTTTCCTTAGAATCCCTTATGATATTTTATCAAACAAAAGGACTTTATGAAAGAAAGGATGGCGATTTATAATTTCCATAGTCATCTCTATACCATGGGTATCAAATGAAAGGGCTCGATGAGGAAAACATAAGCAGTGGTGGCCGCAGTGGTAGACTCTTCGGTCGATTTATCATTATATGATCTGTCTCTACCGAAATCTTACAATACAAATGAAGTAAGAAGTGTCACGGAGTCCTATTAACGAAAATATGAAAATTATATTAAAATTACCAAGCTCGTTATGTGATAGCCTATGTTTTAAATAGAAAACCGACAAACATTTCATACTAAGGCGATATGGAGTGCAGCTACAAAAAACAATCTCTGTTATTGTTTTTAAAGACAACAACACACAAGCGCCGGATATGGGTCCCTATACTCAAATTTTTTCTACTGTTACACTGAATAACCTCTACAAGTTTGTACCCATAGTTCTGAAACACCCTGTATATACAAATAGGGAAATGAAGGCATAATGGACCAGTTAAGGAAAATCGTTTATTTTCGTGAAAAATAAAATGTTTATTTCCATATACGTATTATCAACAGTACAAGAAAAAATATATGTTCTTTCCGAATTATAACTGAAAATTTATTTATATTAACATTTATTTCATAAATGTAGCAAAAATAATTTGGAACAATTGGGTCATTTTGCCCTCATATGAAGGCAAAATGGTACCCTAAAGAAGGTATAATGGCCCAGGCTGGAAACCATTCAAATTTAAAAAATATCTTAACTAACATTACAAAAAAAATAAAAAAAACTTTATTTCTTACTTAAATATAGAATCATTTGGAAGTCAATTGAGTCATTTTGCCTACATAAAAATACTGTGGCAATCTTTAATAGATTGGTCCATGCTGTAAACCTCTTAAATGAAAAAAATAACTTAAATATTATACTCTAAATGAACAAAAACTAAAAATAATTATTACAGGTAGGTAGATATTCTAATAAGTTTTTAGGCCTTACACAAATCACAAATAAATGTACCTTCTGCATCGTCATCATCGACTCTCGCACAAGAACAGTGTGCCCAGGATTGACATAAACTGCATCGGATCCATCCTTTTGTCGATTCTGAGAACCAATGTAGATAAAACAAACACTCAACATCTTCAACTTCAGAATACGAAACATCATTTTTAATTTGATTATTCAGGCTTTTTTGTTGACACAATTTGGTCAAAACTTATTTTATGCTTCACTGAGGTCGCATTAGCTTGTGACTTTTCAAGCTCTTTGAGGTATGGCGATGATGTCAATATAGCCGTCTTACCTCTTTTTCTGGATGACCTTTGTATTTTTTTTGTTTTTGATAGAGGAATGATTTCTAAGGGTAATACAAGAAAGCTGGATTCTTTATTAGAGCTTTGTTTTTGCTTAAGAAGTCGTGACAATGGTATCTCATCGTCACTACTCTCCTCCGATGTTTCGTGAAGTCTTTTAGAACAGCCTGGTATTGCCTTAGGAAATCGTGTTGGTAAAGGTGTTGTCGAGCGGCTAGGATGTGGTTCAAAATGTATTTCCTTTTCTAATTGATTTTTTAAATCTAAAGCATTTTCATTTTGCAAGTTTACTTCAATGTTGGTTGTATCTGCAGGCAAAAAGTCAGCTTCTGTAAATATATCTGGATCTGTAGGCCATATTTGGTCTAAAAGCATTATGCGCAGTTGGAATTGTAGCAGCTTTTTCAAACGCTTTCCAACCAACTCCGCAATTTGAAATTGGATTATAATTCGTCTAGGATTTGTTCGTAACCACTGCTTTGAAGCGTCTGAATAACATGCCGCCAAAGGTTTCATAAACCCTACATCTAGCGGCTGAAGTCGATGCGTACAGTACGTAGGGAACGAAATGATATGCACACCATTCTCGCGAGCTAAATTAGTGATATCCAGGTTTTTAGTGTGACTTGAATGTCGATCCAATAATAGCAAGACTGGGTTGACCCCTGATACCCTTGAAAAGATAATAAACTTTTCAAACCATTTTGTGAAAATATCTTTCTGTATCCAGCCACTTTCATGAAGTTCGGCATATGAACCTCGAGGAGCATTATTAATTAGCTTCGGCTTAAATCGGTTTCGAGGAAACACAAACATAGGCGTCATGTATAAACCACTAGCATTAAAGCAAAAAACGCTGGTTACCAACTGACCTCGTTCAGCTGATGTTAGTAAACCAACTTGTTTTCTTCCCCTTAGACTTATTATTTTTGGCAAACTTTTTGGAACAGTGGTCATTCCTATTTCATCTACGTTATAGATCTTAATAGGAGTTAACTTATATTTATCTATAATTTCTGTAAGCAAGGAAAATAATTTTTGTACTGCTACTCTGTTAAATCCGATTGCTCTTGCTGCGGAGGTTGCTTCTGGTTTACGCAAGCTAAGATCGGGATTCCTTTTCAAAAAGTTTTCAAGCCGATACCTACAAGCCATTTTCTTGTCGTTATCAAAATTGTGTGGAATTTCATTTTTTTCGGCAAGTTGGGATGCCAAACTTCGTAGGTCCGCAGTTGTAAGCCCAAAAAGCCGTGCTTTCATAGATTTAACATAACTTGCTAGCTCCTTTTCTTGCTCTAAGGTAAATACACTGACGTATCGTCTCAGTTTCTTAACCGTAGAAATTTCAATGTTTTCAGATTGTGCATATAATTCCACTCGACGTTATGAGGTTGTTTTTTGGAACCGAATATCTTTCTGAAGCTGTTCGTAAGCCCATTACTTTTGTATAAGCCATTTGTCTGGCTTCTTTCATTTCTTCGGAAGACCATGTTTGCCGCTGTGTTTTTCTTTTGTAGGTACTGACCATCTGTAAAATATTAAAATGATACAAACTATTAAATTAATTTTTTTATGAAGTCGCAATGGAACACTGCAGGCCAAACAGTCCGTTTGCCCATTTTGCCGGGACCGTTTTGCCTTTTGGTGTGAAAGACAAAATATTAAAAATGTAGGGTTAGGTTAAAAGTCAACAAACAAACAGAGGATGTGATTCAAACCTCAAACATGAATGATTACTATTATGAATTAAACCAATTCAAATATAACCTAATATAAAAGTAGTGCAATACTAAAAATGGGCAATTTTACATCACAAATCTAAAAAAACGTATTATCTTGATAAAAACACCTGTTCACTGTTTCTTAGCAAATGGCTGACTATCCGCTAAAGCTCATGTAATCTGGCGCTAACTACCAAAACTACGGAGATGTCGCTAGTAATAGCGAAAGTATAGTAATATTCCGTTTTACGTGCAAGGTCCGTTATGCCTTGAGTTTCCCTACTTATTCTAATCAATTAGATAAATAGAAGCATCCGACATGACTAGGTACTGTACCGTCGCCCGTCAGAGAAAAATTCATTCACTTTATTAGTTTACTTTCGAGAGGACTTCTAAATTTCTTCTGGAGATAAGTTCCTGCTACCTCCAAGAAAAATAAACAGACAACAAGACATCTCCGTCATATGTCAACAAAGTAAAGGAAGCGATCTGCACTAATTGAAATAAGTTAAGTATAGCGTCGTTGATATAAAAACTTTATCGTGCTTTGCTGTCCACAAAATTATGAGCTGCTATATTGGACATGGACACTGCAGCGACTCATAAAAAACAGGAGACACAGGCGTACTGGTTGAAGGTGTTGACTGAAAGCCATTTGTTGTAAATGTCTTATAAGAAAACATCTCTTCTGTGCTTTCAGTCATCGACATATGCCATTTGAGATATGAGGATAATGAGATTTCAACATTCTTTGAGTTATTCAACAAAGCGATGAGTGATGAAAGAACAGGGACGCGCATAGTTTCTTCTCTCTCTAAATCATACACAATTGGTAACAAGCCATATTACATAATATGAAAGATAATACGAACTACACGGCTTTAAACTTCGCATTGAAATTGTATAGTGGTATCACTGTTTCAGATATCAAGAGCGTGTGAGTAGTTTGAAGTATTAAAAATATGTATATATGTGTGTGTGTGTAAATGTAAGTTAATACCCACGCACAAGAATTTATTCTTCTGTGGGTAAATTCAGTTTATTTACGTATACCTATGTTAGTTTGAGTTATATTTGTATGTTACGTGAATAAACTTATTATTATTATTATTATTAACGCTAAATTTCTTAGAACTTGTTCTAAATAATATCGTGCTAAAAGTGCCCAGATGCCTACTGCGCATTTTGAGCAGTACAATGGCTGATAGAACCGCTACGTGACACGGAATTACATGTTCTGTGTTTGATGATTAGACGAGATGACGATTTTTTGACAAAAATAAGCCCAGCATCAAGTACCTTCGTCAGTTGTTGTCATCAGCTGTGCTCATCAGTTTCCCGAAACTCTCCTTCTTATGCTGTATGCTTTATTCTACATGTAGATTGAAAGACTTGAAAGATGTCATAGTCAGTGTGACATACTACCAAACGAAATTTGTTTGTTTATATGCTGTAAAAAGCAAGGTCTATGAAAACAGAAACGCCATATAAGCTGCGTTGGATAAGATCAGACTCACTTTAGAACAAACCAGTGGATCCTCTACTAGAAGCTTTTTATTCAGCGTCTGGAGCACACCCATTTCCCGATCCCTCCGTTTTCATGAAGTGGGCAGCTAAAACTCAGATCGCTGGGTATCGCTCCATTTTCTACAATTTCCTGTTCGTTTAAAGTAGTAAAGTGACAAACCCCAACGAAAAGTATAGTTAGTATGACGTGATAAATGGCAGTTCGATTTGACAGTTATAGCTTTTTCTACCGACTACGCATGATTTCGTACCAGATTTATTACAACAATTTCTTTACGTGACGGACAGGATTGTAATTGGTAAACAAATTGCGAACTAAATTCAGTAACGCACTTTTTCACAAAATTTGATACCGAGTTGTGAACAAAATTTTGTATCGTGACAGACAGCCTTAAAAGAGGAATGGCATGGCGTTGTAGTATGTGTAAACGTGGTGAGACAGTATTAGTCGATCATTATGTAAGAAACTTAGAGGGTATAGCATTATATTGTGCATGAAAGAACCGTGTTCTATAAAATAGAAAGGGTCTGTTATGTGAGGCGGAAGGGACCAAAAAAGTGCCCGTCACGAACGCTTGCGGTTGAAAGCGATACTGATAACGTCTGCTACTAGAAGAGAGCGTTGGATGTCCGTGCTCAAATTATGAATGAAAGCACGTGTAACATTGAAATCGATTGCAAATACGTATTTATGATATCATCATTTTGTAGATAGGTTTCCAGTAAGGATGCTTAGAATGATAGTATCGATAAGATCGCATTAAGAGACCTATACAGGGTGTCGCATCGGGAACTCCATCGATATATTTCTCGAAGTGCAGGGATATGATATTTTTGAAAATTTGGGAGTGTACTAATGTCAATGGGGCAACGGCAGCTAAAATATTTCCAAGATGGTGCCGCTTCCGGTTATACGTTATATTAAAACTTGGAAATTATGCATAAAAAATAATATCAGACAAATGTCCGTCTCTAGAAGCCGCGAAAACCTGAGACCTCTTGATTACATTTTCCATCACTTTTTGGCAGGATTCATGACGGATATTTTCAATCGCTTCCATAATATTGTTCTTCGGCTGCTCTACAGTATTTGGTTTGTTGCCATAAACCCTATTTTTTAAAAATCCCCATAAAAAAAAGAAGCCAGGAGCCGTTAAATTCGGTGACTTTGGTGGCCAGTTGACATCACCAAATTGAGAAATTAAACGTTCCAGAAATATTATTCGCAAAAGACTAATTGTTTCCTTGGTTGGGTGACAAGTTGCTCCGTCCTGCTGGAACGACATGTTTTGCAGGTTAAATTGTTGGATATGAGGATCCAGAAAGTTTTGCACCATATCACGGTAGCGATCGCCATTGGCAGTAAGAGAATTACCTGCAGCGTCTTCAAAGAAGTAAGGTCCAATTATACCTCCATACCAAACACCGCACCCAACTGTGACTCGACGATGATGTAGTGGTCGTTGATGGATGACACGAGGGTTCTATAATGCCCGGATACAACAATTCTGCTTATTGAAAAATCCAAGGATGGGTTATCATATCCTCAACTTCCTTTACTAGGTCGTCTGCAGTGCCTGGTGTCAACCGGAATCGGCAGAAAAAT